TTTGTTTGGATTAATAGCTTCACGTTGAACATCATTCGATACGTCTTCATTAGAATTAGTGTCATCCTCAATCTGCATTGAGCTGCTTGGCTCACTTTCGGACGCGATTGTACTTGAGAGGGAGGTGGAGGAATCGACTAGTTTTGGTTTTTTTGTTGGTGGTGTATGTTCCGCGATGCTTCGGACAATCGCAGCTCGACGAGATGAAGAAGGAGAGACTGGAGAGCTCGTGTCATTGGTGGCTGTGTTGTTTTTTGGAATGACAAATGTTGAATGTTGCAATTCGCAGTAAATAGTATTATTATAAAGCTCCACTGCGCCCTCATCATCTCTTATTCGAGAGCCAGTATTATAGACTTTCGTTCGATTTAAGAGGTGTTTGATTTTGGTTGAATAGAATGCCGTTACCGTGAAGGGTTGATACGTACCCCCTGTATTGGTTTTAACATATTGAGAAAGACTCGCATCGAAAGAAACGGTCGTTTCTGTAATATTCGGTTTCCCAGAAATCGTACCAATTTCTGTAACGTACGTAAAATCGTGAGGGATGGATGATGGATTTAGGAAAATCTTTCTCGAGTGAGAGCAGGTGACATTCATTGTTTGTGTTGATGAATCTACATTTGTAACAGTCCCGTGGAAATAGATAATGTCTTTTGGAGCTAACGATACGACATAACAGGGTGCTTCGGCATCGATTGGAACAAATTGGGTGATGTTAAATGTAATATTTTCGTCTTCGTTTGTTTTTGATTTAACGATTCCTATGCCGACCACAAATTCAGTTCGAGGGGTGGTTTGATAGCTGATAACCTCTCCAATTGATCGAATTTCCAAAGACATGGTGTTTATATGAACGATTAAAAAGAAATAAACTGGAAAAAAAATGTGAAGGAATTTTTATTGTAAATAAAGATACTCTTGGAATTCAAGGTAGACTTTTTATATGTTTTGTCAGAAGAAATGTATAGCACTTGTCCTTCATTTATTGGTGTCTTTCTAAACAATTTGTTGGTTATTTTTGGGTAAATATGATTGATAAATGGACAATGTGAAAGTGGGCTTTCATTTTTGAACTGAGTGTCGTATGTTTACGAGTTTTCTGATTAGTTATCAGGTAAAAATGTGTACGATGGTGCATTTAAATTAGAAAAGTATCAATTTCTTCGTAGTCAGCAAATGAGTATATATTCAGTATATTGTGAGACATAATGTCAAAGCAAATTCTTTGGTGCAATAGAATGAAACAGAAAGTATCTGTTAAATATGCTTGTATTTATATGTTTGCGTAGTTATGGTAAATACTTTTAGTTAGCGAATCGTATATTGCCAATATTATATTCACAATTTATATGAGCTGTTTTGTATAAAGAAAATAATTAAGTTGGCGATAATTGTTTGTATTCATAAGCGTATCGTTTTTGATGGCAAAAATTCTGCATGCTAAGGTGGCGTAATTTTTTTTTAGATATGATTGGTACTCGGGTACCAAATAAGCTAGTGATGATTTTCGTATGGAGGATGCAATTTTGTGTTACATAACATGTGATACTCATCACAGTATTGAATTTCGCAGTAATAAAATAAGGGATTATTGTTTAGTGTGAGACGCAAGTCAAATATAGTGCCTCTTTTTTGTATATCAACAAATAGGAGCAAATGGCTGTGCTATATTGATAAAAGAATATTTTGAGTCACTAAATAGACTATTGGTGTATTGTTCGAATAAAGTTATGGTCTAGTTATATGATATGATATGTGTTACAGAAATGGGGCTCATAGTATAATGAACGTGGAAGCAGTTAAAGTCATGACTCTATCGTAAAAACTCTATCATAAATGATCATATAATATGTTGCGCATACCGATACATCATAAATATTTAAATACATGACATCAACAAATAGTATAAGTTATGTTCGCATACATTACAAAGTTTACAAATGTATAGAATGTCAGATCACTTTACGTTCAGGCAATTGGTTGTTGTCTGTTCACAATCCAGTGGAGAATCAACATTGTTGGTTTACTTGTTTAACAAATTGATGTGAGGCTTGTCATTCAAATTTAGTCTAAACGTAAAGTTTCGTCGATCTTGCTAGATATAGTAAGGTGGAGATCTCACTCGTTTCAGTATTCGGCGGACATCTTTTTAGTGTAAAAAGAAAAGTCAGAAGAAAAAGTGGCAATGATATTTGTGAGAAGACCAAGTAGTCCTTTGAACAACAGATTTGACAAACGTAACAGTAAGCGAGGCTCGTTATTTGAACAGTGCAATATTATTATCTATTGTTGTTTATGCAACAGTTTGTTTACTCTGCAAGTTTGTTGCTGCGGAGTATGTAAACAAATTGCTATATAAACGCCCTCTGTCCGTAAGCTTGCTATAAGCTATAAGCTATAAGCATAAGCATAAGCATAAGCATAAGTATAAGTATAAGTATATATATAAAATCCAAAGGCGTTTTTGCGACGATCATTTCTAAAATCCGGAGATCTACATCGTACTAGTAAATACAATTGGTGGACACCGAAGCACAAGGCAAATAATAGGGGGTCGGATCTTTAAATTATGCTAATAATATTCTTAACAGCTCGTTTTAATTTTGCAATTTCATTCTTGAGTTCGGCATTTTCTGTTTGACTTAACTTTGTAGTCTGTTCTAATTCCACAATTCTAACCTCAAGCTCATCTTTTTCTTTCGCAATCTGTTCCAATTCATTGATTCTAGCCATAAGTCTGGCGTTCTCCTGTTTCAATAAATCAATTTCGGATTGCATGTTTAATGATAACTTTAATACAATTCAAATATATTTATTATCATAGATAAAAACCATGACATTTCGTCATTGGAATTATATTTCTTATTGTCTTATTGCGAAATACTTGAGCAGTGATACTTGGAAAAAATTGTATTGCGATTGTGGATTATAACAAATTTCGTGATGTCTCAATCAATATTCTGAAAATGAAATTAAAATTTTAAGCAATTACATTACTTGTATTTTTATTACAATAATTGCATGACATTTTACTAAACAGTTACAGTTGGTATGTAGTTTGCATTGCCCCAATTATCTATTTTAACTTCAATAATTCTGTGACTTTTTAATCACAACTCATACTTTACCTTTCTTTATTGGACTAGATGAGGGTTCACCGAACAATCCGGATTGCTCACTGTAAACTGGAATTTTTCTTTTGCGTTCTCTATGTAAACGTGAGTCAGAAAGCGAGACACCATTTGTGTGATCACAAATTATTTTCAACGTAGACTGAAATAATATGAATATAATAGTGAGATCTTGTATGTACCAACTGCAACGATAGTAGGCATATATTACCCTGATGTCCGACATAGTAGCATAAAAACCTTCAAGAACTGCAAGCGTTTTTAAAGTATTGGGCATCTTTTTCTGAGAAAGCCTTCCTAAGCGTAATACATTTGTAGCCTTACAGTCCATGCCATAAACTTCGTGGATCCACCCTTAACATGAAAATAAAAGTAAGTTAGTCACAAAATTCGAAATTTAATTATTATATTTTTTTTTACCTACCCCATGATTGAATTCCAAGAACATATGTACTATGAAGCTCATTTCCAGATGCATTGGGATTTGTTTTAAAAAAATTATACAGAACATCGCGCATTGCTACGGAAAGATCCGCTCTATCCTCGTGAACTTTTTTGCGGTGTGCAACAGGGAGACCACCACTTCTAAGGCCAATAATGGCTTCAAGGTTATTAATACTATTTTTCAAAGTACCCCGAAAATCGCACTTTTGGCCTATGCGTGCTCGGAGGACTATTGAGCGTCCCTCGTTTCTTCGACGGGCAGAAGCCCAACAAGCAATTTCCCCTCTATAGGATTGTAAAAAAATTAATTACTACTTAAATATTTAGCCATTGTATTCTTATTAATACTTACACGTCCATTTTGAGATCACGTTTGTTTAAAAATCTTTTTGTTAACATATTTGTAAATGAATTGTCAAAGTCGGCTTCTGATATGGGAACTTCAAGATCCTTCAAATTTTCGGCACTGTGATAAAAGATCAGAAAATTTAGATAAAAATTATGTGATGTGCTGTAATTTATCAAATGTTAATAAAAGAAAATAACTATTATATTTAACTCACTAGGTAATAACGGCACGTCTTAATCCATTAAAGATCTCCTTTTCCTCATCACTGAATTTGACGTTTCTATTTCTTTCTATCATCTCTGGAGTCAAATCATCAATCGCATTGATAATATATTCATCATTTTTTTTGGATACCTAAAAATATAGTGTTAGTGCCATTTTAAAAAAATGCTATAATAATAACAAGATAGATCTTTCATCAACCTTTTCCACCTCATCGAAAAAATATTCAACAACATCTGGTATATCTGATTCAACTAATTTTACTTCTTTTTTAAAGCTTTCATTTATTTCTTCCCAGTCATCCGCTGAAAAAAAAGGTTTTATTTGGGTGTCTTCCGTTAAATCGAGAATGTTCCAGTACGCGAGGCTATAAAGAAATTCTAAGATTAAATATAATCATCACTAACTTTTATGACCTCCGCCAATTCAAAAAACTTACTTCAAACATTTATGAGCCTCAGGAATTGTCTTAACATATTTTGCTAATTCGTCTCCAACGTTGGTACCACTTTTGAGAACCCACAATCGACGAGTAGTTGGTTGTTTTTCTTCTCTACGTTCTATGAAGTTATCATCAATGTCGTCATCGCCGATACCATCTTTATAAACCTTGTCGTCATCCCCCTTGCTTATATAAAATTCTTCGATTTCGTTTATATCCTCCTCTTCCTGATCTTCTTGATCTTCTTCACTTATATCTAAGTTGGCATCTTTTATCAATGATTCGTCCTGTAATAAAAATTTTCATAATATTTTAATATTTATGGCAAGCCCTTTAGTTATTCTGAAGAGTAATAACCTTACCTTGTTTAATGACAACGAACTTATCTCTTTATGAAGATTCAGATTTGTATTACGTACATTACGACGAACAAGAATCTATACAATGCAGAATTTTTATCAATGTTAGGTCAAACTGTCTAAAAAGCCAGCAACCGGACATACCGCTGTCCTTTCTTGCATCCATGTTTCCCAATCCTTTTGAATCTTTTCCTCCTATTAAGAAGGGGGTACATAATTAGAAGTAATGTAATATGACATCAGTAGGTTCAAAAATTCATTAAATTACATACACCAAGCGTTTCTTTCTTTTCTTGGAGCTTAATCTTTAGTTCCGAATCATCAGTTTCGTTCAAGGCTAGATTGAGTACTTTATGGTATTTTTCAATTGCTCGAACTCGATGAGCGGGACATATATATCGAAAGAATGCGAGAGGACTCGGATCAAGACAGCTTAGCATCCAGTTGATATGGCCTTCTTGCTGAGTTATGTTACGTGAGGATTTCATTATTGCCTTGAGAGTACAAGAAATAAAAAATTAAATATCTTGTTGAATGAAGTAAATGAGAAAATAACTAAAAGTGAGTAGTTATTGCACGCAAGGCCGGCCATCGACTGGATGATGACTCGCCATTGCTGGCTTCCGATAGACTCCCTCTACCGCAGACGCCTCGCGCGCTTAACAACCCCATAACTTCTGTGCAATGAAGTCAGCCGGCCACCGACTGGATGATGACTCGCCATTGCTGGCTTCCGACAGACTCCCTCTGTCGCAGACGCTTTCTCCTTGCTTAACAGAAGCTATGTTCTCTATCGCAAGTACTAAATAAGAGAAAACCAAGCCCACCTAGCTAATACGTTGTTCGAAAGACGGTGATAAAAATTTTTTTACAAGGCGAGAGTAAATATTTACATGACACGAGCATAAACCGTGACAAAATGTCACGATCAGACTTGCCGATCACTTTTGCCAAGAAAAATTACTTGCACACATAGTAAAAATTCGGGAAAAAATACAGTTTCTTAATTTCGTGCTCATCTTTCTCTTTCACAGTTTGTTCCAATTCTGCAATTCTGGTCAAAAGTCTGGCGTTCTCTTATTTCAATAGATCTAGTTCGGATTTGATATTTCCCATTGTTTGTATAAGATACGAATATATTCAAATAAAATTTAATCAACCATGATCGATACATGATATACCCACAATGAGCGAATCAAGGTCCTGCTGATATACTGTATTTATTACAAAACAATGGCTATACGGCCTACATATGAAAATCCTTTTATTTAACCAATTATTATTGACATATATGTCGTGCATAAATCCCGTCATCGTATAAATCCCGGATTTATACGTATAAATGCCGTACCACGATTTATACGCATAAATCCCGTCAAAGTACCCCAAAATTGAGAAGGGTCCCTAAACATTTTCTTATTATTATCTCAATCA